AGGAGTTATAGCGGGTCCCGATTTTCTCGACACTTGTCATTGCCCTCTTGAATGAGACGGAATGACCAAGGACCTTAAAAATGTGCAGCTGCGGCTTCCTATTGTCATGGGTAGCACGCTCGTCTTTTTTATGCACAGCTCCATATCAGAGTCCGAGAGGCTGCGGGGGTCCGATCGACTCCTCCCCCTTACGTTAGCGGCTGTTGAAACGCCAACAGACGGGCGACGGTCAAAAGTTGCAGCTGCTTTTGTACGACTGTACGGAGGGGTGAGATGGTGAGGCGAGCAGGTACGTGAAAATTGGTATCTAATCAATGTGTGCTGACTGCTGTGCCTTTGGCCTGGGCTAATCTTTGAACCCTGGGATGCAACAGTCACGATGGCTCCATCACTGGAGCTACAAACTCTAAAAAGATAGGCTTTCTCAGAATCCCTCATTACCCCCACCGAAAGGGCTCCATTACCCCCAAAGGGGGCATGCCCCACCATTTGCCGACCCCTGTTATAGAACAAGGATGGACAACGTGCCTTTGGGGGGTCTCGGCTCGATCGGGTTGATAGCGAGCGCGTGGCGCGTGCCTAAAAAGTGAAAATTCGCGTCATAGACTTTACATGTATTAATCGGCTTGCAAAAACGGGTGAAAATGGCTAAATTTGCCCGACACGGGTCCGTTCCCCGTGCAATATCTCGGTAGCCGTGCGCCCGATCGGCACGGGGAAAACAGCATCGTGTAGAGAATCGAACGGGCAATCGAATAGTGTGCGGTGCAGGGGGTGGCACGCACCACGTGCACGTGTGAGGGCAATTTCATTTCAAAAAGTGCCGTTTTAAACGGATTTTGGATTTTATTTTATTTTCCCGTGACCGTCAGACTTAGCGAGTTGAAACAACGCCTATTGGCAAGAGAAATGTACCGCCTCTCATGGAAAAATTGTGAAAAGCTGATCGATGAAAAACAAGGTGGAACAAATTGCTGGAGAAAATGGTATTTGTCCGTAATGTGCCACTAAATAATTACACGGGGTTTGCTGCTTAACCTGATACGTTTGACAATTGAAAATGCTATCATTAGAAAGAGCATTCAATTCTCTCCAAGATCCAATCATCACGTTTGCATGACCAGCCACAGTATTCTAAAAAATATTAATGTTTCAAACCTCTGCAAAACCATTTTTAGCGAAAATTATCTACGCCTCTCATTTGTCATAAAACTACGCACCTAGGGGAGAGTGGGGTGGGTTGTATCAGTTTTTACTCCGAGACCCATAACCTCGTAACTATCCGTGATAAACTCATTATTTCCATACTATCTCCTTCCTTGATTCTTCTGCTTTTTTGTGCAAAGTAACTTTTCCGCTACCTCTACCAGTTTTTCTTCTACGGTCTGCCGAATAGAACAATGTTTTTGATATAACTTGCCCCATGGCTTGGGTGAGTTGTATCACATGGTGGGGTAATTTGTATCGCTAGGTATTTCACGTTTCAGGGAGTGTGCTTGCTACTGGTTTTGAGCATAACAACAACATTAAATGGGGTTGATACAATGTATATGCTCAAAGGCTTCACTTTTATTAGACCAAACTTAGGTCAATGCAATCCGAACGAAACATCGAAACGAACGAAACATCAACAGACTAGACGCAAAAGTGGCTCGTTTAGAGCAAAGAAGCCAACACATTGTGCCAAAATGGAACGAGTATTGACTAGCTACCTACAAACGCGAGCCAGGCCTTAGCTTTCGCTATCAAAAACAACATACCCATACATTACATACATGTTACAACATACCCCACCCGGCTCTGATACAACATGTACCTCGCCGCCATCTTGGAAAAACATCCTCGTGCTAAAAAACAGCGGACAGCCGGAGAAATCCATTTTCACTCACGCAGCCTTAGAACCTACCCTCACCACCGCTACGGAGATCTTTCAAATTCGTGCACATCTAAATGTCCAAAACACACATTTTCTTGCAACTTATTTTTTTTAGAATGACATTAAAAAACATAAAATCAGCTCTCACCTCGAGACGCGTCCACCCAGCCACACGACAGAACAGGGAAAGATGGCGCCCGGAAAACCTCGTCGGCTGGTCGTGTCACGAGCGCCATCAATTGGATAAGTTTCGCACAATTCGCCCTGATACAACTTGGACATGATACAACTCTCCCCGCTCTCCCCTACATTATAAAACACATTTGACATGTTTTCTTAAGTAGAAAGCATGCTTATCAGACACGGGCACCTCGATGTGATGGATATTTTCCCCACAAACCAAAACGTTTAGCCGTCAAAAAGCAATCGACCGAAATGGATAGATAACCCAACCGACACAAGAACCAAACACCCACCGATCGAAAATACCCCTGTTCGCGTTGCGGAGCACGCGGGTCACCCTAGTACTGGTTCTATAGAATGCCTAAGCAGTCAGGGATATGTGTAGAATGCCTGATTCCACACATTGCCTGTAACATATAGACGGGTTACACAGGACATTGGGTGGACGCGTCCATTCAATGTGCTGTGTAACCCGTCTCCAAGCATCATACTAATTTTCAAACTTTTAGGAGATAATCTGTCGGAATGACAAGATAGGAATTCTAAGAGGCATAGTTATTGAACTTGACATGGCACGGTGACCTGACCTTAGGTGACATGTGATTATTGTTTTTTATTCACAATGCAAATTTAATTTACAATAAGTTATACCGCTGCTTTCGTGGCCCTGCGTGAGGTTTCCCACACGAAAAAACGGGTGCGTGCCCAAAAACACCCCTACCCGTCAAGGCGAAGACCAGCAACCCGACCCCCACCCCCTACTAAAAAATCCGTGGCGACACCCCTAGACGTGTGCAGTGTGCCCTGGGCCCAGCCTCCGGACATGGCTCATGTGTAAGTATGTACATACATTAGGGTGGTCCTTATTTCCATACAAAATTTTTATTTTTATTTTTTCGCGCTTGCGCCCCCTCAAATGATGCCATTCGTCTAGAAACGTGGAAAAAGAGCAAAAAGAGCGAAATCGGCGGATGCTTTTTGGTGGCTCAATGCATATTAACCCTCGTATGTGTAGGGGTGGGATGGACCCCCATGAGTTTTCGCGAATAACTCACGTAAAAAGCGGCCGATCGCGACGAGACTTTCAGTATCCTCGAGATGATCAATTTTATACATACTCTGAAAATTTCATGACCCTGACCCAAATGACCTTTGACCTGTGACCTATTTCTCGAGACCATGTTTGGCCGGAGTCGCGATTCAGCGTATGTCAGCTCTCATTATCCGCGTGTTTCTAATATTTTTGCGATTATAAACGTCCAAACATGTGAAATGATGTTCGCCCCATGCATTACGGTGGGTGTCAAGGTCACCTGAAGGTCAGGTCAGGTCAGGTCATTGACCTATGATGACCTCGTGTCACTTTTCCGAGGTATACATGTTTCTAGGGCAGTTTTTCGGGCTGATTTCGAATTTAGCATCCATTTGAACATTTACGAAGTAGTTTTGGTGCCTTTGTTATGTGTTACGACGCCACCAGTGGTAGTTGAGACCTACTATGGGTAGCCGGCAGGACGCCTAATGGCTGACCTGACCTGACCCGACCTGGTCTAAATGCACGAAGACATCATATGTGATCAAAACTAGCATGAAATTCGTGATCAGCACCCCCAAAAACAATACAGCTTCACTGTACGAAGCTCTTGCAGGTCCCGATTTTTCTGACCACTGGATCATTGACCTGACCTGGAAGGTCAACCAATGACCTAGGACCTTAAATTGGATATCATCGGTTTCCTCTCGTCACGGGCAACACGCTCGTTTTTTTCGCAAAGCTCTAGCGCGATCTGGAGCCAAAAGGCAGAGGGGTCCAACCGACCCCCCCCCCCCCACACACACACACGTTAGACGTTAGCGGAAAGTTGCGGCGTGATGGCCGTGGTTCGACCACGCTTTCGGGATGACAGAGTGGCTGTACCCATGCTGGGGCCAGGTCTCACGGCTCCGCGAAGTGGGGACGATTCGGAGCTACTCGAGGTTATGCTTTCCAGCTCCACTTGGTCGGCTGCCGCCCGCGCCTCCTCCGACGCGACGCCTTGCTCCTCCTCCTCTCTTCGGCGTCATCCCTCCTCCTCTTCTTCTTTTCTTGGGAATGGAGCGCCATGTCTGCCTCTGTCATTCTATCCCGTCTCCCTGGCTCACGTTGGGCGAGAAGGAAGGCGCGATCTTCCGGGATGGTTAGGTATCAAGGACATTGCGTCACCGTGGGCGATATCAAAGATATTTTCCAGTTGTTTCTTGAATACGTCCTCGTTGCTTGTTTGGGTGGCGGAAGTCCTGTTCTTGTTCTTTTTCAGGCGTTTCCACTCGTCGAAGAGAGTTTCCACCTTCTTGACCGCTCTCCCTTTGTGCTGGGTGGGATTCCTGGCCCTGGCCCAGAACTCCTCTACTCTAGTACCTTCTCTAACGTCCGGTTGGCCGCTTCCCGGACCGTTTCCTAGAGGATTTGGTGGCGGTGGAGGAAGTAGGCGAGAGATTGGCCGCGGGATGGGAGCTTGCATAGGTGGTGGAACGGGAGGGGGCACCGGAGCACCGTGCCCCCCTTAATTTTGCCATTTTAGTATAGCCCTATGGGCGTTGCATGGAAAGAATGGGACCAAAAGTCGGCAGTGCCCCCCCCCCCTAATTGAAGGTGTTCCGCCGCTACTGGGAACTTGGAGCCAAGGAGTTCATAACTGGGGGACACCATGTACCCAGAAGTTTGCGACGCAGACAACCGTTACACCTGAGGAAGAGGGAACGAACGTTGATCGACGAAACGGACATTGAGCGAACATTGACGAACGAACGAGCGTTGAGCTACCAGTAAATAATGAAGTAGGGATCTGAAATTTTGACAGACATGTTTTTTCGTTAAACGGCACCGATTGAAGGGGCGCAAGGTATCCAAATACGATTTTCGAAAATAAGGACCACCCTAACATACATACTGTTTGTGCAGGTGGCTGCAGTACGTGGCTCGTGAGAGGGGCCTGCAGGTGGAGCTGCGGAACGCCACGGAGGAGCTGGGCGTGCTGAGCGTGGCCGGTCCGCGCAGCCGGCAGCTGCTGCAGCAGCTCACCACACAGGACGTCGGCCGGTTCCCGTTCCTCAGCGCCCGACAGGTAGGTGTCGAGCCCCTATATTACATACATCACTACTCACTCAAGGAAAAAAGGGCGCCGCAGTGACGCCACGGATTTGGTAGGAATATGACAGCAATTGTTGCAGACGTTTACATATCGCGCACATGTTATTTGATCGTCGCCAATGCTATTTTACTGCACTATTTTGGTATTTTACTGCCGTGTATTGCGCATTACCTATGAAAAACTAAAATAGGGTAGACCGGGGCGCGTATTCGCCAACTGCATGCCACGAATCGGCCAACCAACTAGCGCCATCTCTTGTGTGACGTCATTACCATCTGCCATCTGGGACAAGAATACATCCATTGGGGCTATGGTTTGACTTGAAACTTACAGTGCAAACTGAACTCGCGGACGGACACCAAGTCGCCGTAGCCGAGTGGTTAGAGTCTCGGTCCAGCACTTGAATGGATGGTTGTTCGATATTCACCAAGGGTGGTTGTGTTTTCTGCACAAAAGAAAAAAAACGTCGGGCATACAGAGCTGGGCAAGTGCGTTCCTTTAGTGCGTTCCTGCGTTCTTGCGTAAGTACGTACGCACCGCCTTTTTAGGAACGCAAAAACGCAGGAACGCAAAGTTTTTCAAAGGAAAGCAAGTTAGAGGAACGCACCACCCGAAATTTTGAAGCGTTCCACATTTTGTGAAGTGCGAACCCTGCTAAACCATGAAAAAATAAAAAAGTTGTTATTTCATTCGGGTATTGACAATATAACTTTGAGATGTATATCACCTGAGCTATGGATCACTTTGTGATGTATATCACCTGAGCTATGGGTGCGACGTTATGGGCGCAAAATGACCTTTGCTGTCGGTGCGCCCTAAAGCCTCAATAAACAAACAAACCTGAGCTATGGCTATTTTAAAAATAACATTTATTATGAAAGACCCTGTGTATGTATTCGATATTCAGTCTATGTAATATTCAGTCTATCGAAATCAGTATATGTATTTACAACGTATACTTAGCAAGTTTGAAATCGTTGACAGCAAGGCCGGGCCAATTTTGAGATCCCTCAAGTCAGTGGGAGAAAATTGAACTACGCTTTTATGGGACGGAACCCATAATAAACACTCTGAAAACATGTGGTGCTTGATGAATTGCATTACTTGAGAAAAATTGTCTGTTTTGTCGGAAGCCAACTCTTTCGGTCTGAAAAGGCCCTTGCAAAGCTATGACATGACTATGTTCTGGTGTAGTAATTGGATTGTGCGAGCCAGCTACAGTGATCTGTTTATTTGTTTATTAATTATCCAGGTAGCCACAGACAAACGCCCATTTACGGCTCCAGTCAGTTCAGTATGACACATACAAATAACAACACAAAAACACAAAAACTAAAACAAAACGTACAGTAAGCAAACAGATAATAAAGTGATCGCACAAACACTCAGTCATACAGCTCAGTCAGAGACAACACTCAGACGTTGTAGGGACTGAGAGTGTTGGAGTACTCCCAGGCATCGCGTCCGAATGAGCTGCCATGAAAATATCTGCGGCTTGCACGTGCTGTAGCAGCAGATTGCATGAACGAGAGAGACGTGCAATGAAACTGCTTTTTACTGCGTTTACCCTAGCGAAAGGCTCATGCAGTAGACCAGTGTGTCTTGACCGTCTCCCGGGGACTGCCAGACCAACTGGTCACAGTCGATGCGGTCTGCGGAAGCGAGACTGTCCCCGTGGGACCAGATTGCCCTGTTGGGACGGTCCGGCCGCCTTCCAAACGGCCCGAAGAGGATTTATTATGAATAATTTAGCCGGAAACGGGGTGGCCGGGCTTCCCCCGCGCCCGGGGTTACCCCGGCTTCCCCTATGCAATGTATGTTCAGATGGTGCGGCTAGTACACCTTTTTGCGTTGTTCGATGGCCAATCAGCAAAACCCATTCGTCCGATCAGCACATAGGTGGCGCCAGTGAGAGGCATTCCGGCAAAACCTTCAGCATAACTACAAAACTAACAAAACTAACAAAACTAACAAAACTAAAAACAGATCGCCCCTTTACAGAGAAGTATAAATATGACCGCGTTTATACAGTGCAATGCGAGGCATAGGTGGCGAAACTCGTAGACCATCGATCCACATAAAAATCGGTAGCGTTCATGAGCACCATAGGTACAATGTAGATGGACGTAGCTGACATGTTATCGGCTGATTGAAAAATGGACAGGCAACAGAGCAACAGGCTGGATAAGTTGACCCCGCCTCAAACACCAAGGAACAGGCAACAGGCTGGATAAGTCAGCCCCGCCCCAAAAACCAAGGTGTCCGGCCGGCAGGGCCCGGCTTGCCATCTGTCAGCCATTCCCTCGCGAGTCCGACCGGCGCGGCCGCCCGAGGCGTTGTCCCATGACATCGCACGGGCAGTGACGCGATAATGACGGCCGACTTCGTGGTTTGTATCGAAGCGTTTAGGAGTCCGACGCTCAAGAATCTACATGCCTACTCGGTATGGCGCCGGCAGTCTCCTCGTAGCTATGGTATAACTGCCTTTTCGGAATTCAATGGTTAATTGGTTGCAAATTGCGCTGGAACTGTCATAAGCCTCATCCCTGAATGTGAATAACGTTAAACATTGAATATGGCTAGATAAGCACTACATCATTGACATTTTGATCATTGACGAAAGTTTTAAATAAACAGTCATTGTTTACGCACAGTACCGATGAATTTTGCACATCGACTAACCATTTTGTGAAATGTCGAAGCATTATGACAATCTGACAAAGTGTTTTGCCTATGACGAACATTGTGCTCAATGACAAAGAGTTATGCAGAATGGTTAAATGGAGTCCAGCCTGTTTTGCCGACCGTCAAACAGTGATGCAAATCGCCGATGGGTTATTCTGAATGATGCTTGTCCAAACTGATGCCGAAATGGTTATGACGATTGGCCATCGAACAACGCAAAAAGGTGTAGTCTTGGTCTACCCAAAGTGTACGGTATCCATCTATTTATAATATCAACTTATATTAGAACGATATTGATACTAGGTGTAGATCCAGCCACCCTAAAACCACCTTGGGTTCTAAATGTTTTTTTTTTTTACATGCAGGCAGACGTCTGTTCTAGTGTTTATTTCTATGGCGTTTGTGTCGAGCAGCTGGATATCGCCGGAGTGGACACACTGGCTCTGAGGATCTCCTACACCGGAGAGCTGGGCTGGGAGCTGTACCACGACCGGCAGAAGACGGCCCACATGTACGAGGCCATCCTGCAGGCCGGCCAGCACCTCGGTAGGTCACCGCAGCTCGGTCCGCGCCGGGGGGGGGGGGAGGGTGTTGCGCCGCCGTTTTTGACACACCTGTTCATGCATCGTTTTCGCACATGTTGTGAAAATATCAGACCCAGGGCTTTCAAGGTCAGATCACCAGGTCACGTGAAGTGACCTCACCTCAGAAAATAAGTTTCAATCCTCATCAGAGCTACAGCGGCTGAACGGTCGCCTTGAAACTTTCAGCGATTGATGAGAGTAACATTATGTACAAAATGGTTATCTCGGAATTTTAATATAGATGACCTAAGGTCAGGTCAATTTTGCGACCTCTACAAATTATAAGTCAATTGGGAGAAGATTGAAATGCGCCTCTTGTGGACGAATGGTGTTCAAAACCCTCTCTTGCATCAGTTTATGGGTAAACATGACACACTGAATCGCAAAAATGCACCTGTGACCCCTCTGTGTGCCCCTGAGGTCATCTCAGGTCAAGAACGGTCACCAGCAGTTTTTTTGGCTATAACTTTTGATAGAGACGTGCTAGAGCGATGAAAACACGTCAGATGTATTCAGCTTGACGATACGGATCGACCGATATGCAACATGACCCTTTCCGGTCAGGGCATGACCTTAACCTATGGTCAAATTTTCAAAATAACCTTTCAAGGTCAGCGAATAGTTCATTCGACGCGTCTCGACGAGAGGAACACGATGCTGGCAAAAGTAATGCCATGGCTTGCTTGAATCAAAATTGTTATGACTGAAAAGCTGTTTTTATGAAAACGCGGCTATTTTTACCGTTTTTTGCTCTCTGGAGGTTAAACCATTGACCTTAGGTCAAATCTGACAACAACACTCAGAAAGGTCTGTAAAAGGGCTATCGAATGCGCTTTTTCGCGGCGCTGTAGCTCTATTAGTTCCCGAGTTAGCCGTTGGCAGTTTCCAAAACTGTTGAAATGGCCTACATTTGACCTTTAATGACCTCTGGCGACCTGACCTTTGACCTGAACCAAAAAATGATCGAGTGTTTCCGTCATTATTTTTTACGGTCTTTCGAATGCCGCTTACCACGTGTCGCTACGTAGCCCAGGAGCCGAGTTAAACGGGGGGGGGGGGGGTGTTCAGACACACACACACACACCCCGGCCCGGCGCGGAAGTCGTGAAGCACCGGCCCAGCGCGGGACGGGGGGGGGGGCGGTTAACGGCCCCCCGGAGGTTTTTCGTTAATAGCGGAAAAAGTGCCGTGCATAGCGCCGCGAAATTTGGCATGACTTTTCACTATCAACTTTACACATTGTGTGCAAGATTGAACCTTCCTACCTTTCAAGGCCAGGTCACCAGGGCACTTCGAATGACCCAACCTCAAATCACTTTTTTGCAACTTTGTCACTGTGTCAGAGCTACAGTACATAGATGACGGAGGCCTTTGAAAGTCGTAGGATGTAATAAAGTCATTGATAGCTACAATATGTTAATCTCAGAATTTTTGTATCGATAACCTAAGGTCGGGTGAATTTCTTGACCTCCCCATTATGAGTCAATGGAGGAAAAATCAACTCCCTGTTTTTCCACTAAAACACGTCGGAATGGCCAAATATACCATGAATGCCTTCATAGTTCATATACTATTAACCTTGACTACCTTGAGGCTTTTTTGCTCTTGGGCAGCTGTAAGGTCATGTGACGTCATCAAGGGTCACCAAAGGTTTTTTGCTAATAGCTCCTTACAGGAACGAAATGCAGCCGCGCGGTTGGTCTCATTATTTTCAGCTCGTCAAGGAGCATCGACTGATATAAATGTTGACCTTGGGGTCACGTGACCTGAGGTCAACTTTTGACCTTGACGTTTGGAGGTCAGCACATATATGATTCGATGCGGACTGACGAGAGGATCACGATGGTGCCATTAGTTAGTTCATAGCTTGGCTTCTTCGAAAGTTAGGGGAGGACCGTACAAGAGTACGCACCTAATGCATTTTGTCGTCTCACGCCGTTCGGTTTTGGTTTACGGCTACGATCAGTATATTCCGAATCGATAAAGCCTGATCATTTGTCCACAAACTGTCATGACTACAGCGGCCTACGTCCAATTTAAAGCGTGACCGTAAGCAATTTTCTAACACCCTGCATTTGCGTACTCTTGCCCGATAGGCAGTACAAGAGTACGCACTTCGTGCGGGCGGAGTACGCACTACGTGTATGCATTCCTACTCGCTGGAATCAATGCATTCATGCAAGTAATTAAACTATTGTTATCTTTATTGCCGCAGCCACTAAAACGGTCACTCTTAACAGAGTCGAGGCGCCCCGCTGTGGTCGTGCAAATGCCCCCTGGTCTACCAGAAACAGTGATGCTCTTCGTGGTTTCCCCAACTGCTCGACGTCCCCCCGAGTGTCATCCACCTTGTTGGCCAATCCCGTGAATCTGCTGAGGGGTTGCGCGCCTGATGCACTAAGTTGATTAATGCAACACAACCACGCACTCGAAAACTGCGTACTCTTGTCCGCCACGGCAATGCGTACTCATGGCCGACACATACGGTAGACACAAAGCGGGCTGAGAGCTGGCGCCACAGTCGTCGCGTAAACAATTGGGACTTGACACACACACACACCAGATTCCCCGTGGTATCTTGATAGGAAAAAATGAAAATTCTATTGCCGCTCCCTGAGGAAGGTCACATCTTTTCCTGCACCCCAAAAAGTCTAAAAGCGATGTGAAAAACACGTCTAAGCCTCTAAAAAAGACAAGTGAACCCGTAGCGCGCCCACCTTCCACCATCGAAGCCGCGTGAGAGACAGCTTCCTTAGGACCAGGCACGTACCCAGGATTTCGCCCAGGAGGGGGCCACCTGCTTTCGAAGGGGCCCCCAGGTCACCCGGGGGCCCCCGGGAGTCATGCAGAACCTTTCGATGGTGGGGGGGGGGGCATAGTGGGTCCGGTCTCTCCTGCAGACGTAGGTGAGAAAACGCCACGTGTGTGGGAAAACGAAATTTAGTTCTTTACAACCATTATGTAGCATTTGGTTGTGATTTCTCGCGTTCAACTTCATCAAAGTCAATTAACCCTCGCATGTGTAGGGGGGGTCGACCCCCCCATGGTTTTTCGCGAATAACTCGCGTAAAAAGCGGCCGATCGCGACGAAACTTTCAGTACCTTCGCATTGATCAATTTTACACCTACCCTGAAAATTTCATGACCCTGACCCAAATGACCTTTGACCTGTGACCTCTTTTCCGAGACCATGTTTGGCCGGAATCGCGATTTCGCGTATGTCGGCTCGCATTAGCCGCGCGTTTGCAAGCTTGTCGTGGTTTCAAACGTTCAAACATGTGATTTGATGTTGCTCCCATACATAAGGGCGGGTGTCAAGGTCACCTGAAGGTCAGGTCAGGTCATTGACCTTTGGCGACCTCGGGTGACCTCGGTTCACTTTTTCGAGTTTTACATATTTCTAGGCTAGTTTTTGGAGCTGAATTCGAATTTAGCAACCATTTGAACATTTACGAAGTAGTTTTGGTGACTTCGTAACATGTTACGAAGCTGTCAGAGGCGGTTGACACGTACTACGAATACCCGTCACGACGCCTACTGGTTGACCTGACCTGACCTGACCCGACCTGGTCTAAATGCTTAAAGACATCATCTGTGATCAACACTAACACGATATTCGTGATCAGCACCCCGAAAAAACCCTTAGCAGCCACACTTTACGACTTTCTAACAGGTCCCGATTTTCCCGACTTTGGGTCATTGACCTGACCTGGAAGGTCAACCAATGACCTAGGACCTTAAAATTGGGTATCATCGGCTTCCTCTCGTTACGGGCAACACGCTCATTTTTTTTCCGCGAAGCTCTAGCTCGATCAGGGGCCAAACGGCAAGGGGGGTCCAACCGACCCCCCCCCCCTACACATTAGAAGTTGGCAAACGCCGCACACATGCGAGGGTTAAAACGGTCTCTGTAACGGTCTAAGCCTTGAGAAAATGTGGAAAATTGGAAAGTAAAAATATTTTTGCTTGAGGAGTGAGCATGAAGCGCACGGCATTTTATCAGTGAGCGCCTCAGTTACCGAACATCCTCCAATTCCGGATAATGGGTATATAAATAGTGTGGAATAAATGTCTCGTTATCGGAATTCCACTATCTGGCAACTAGCCCTTTGTAAACGCGGCTATTATATGTTTCACTAGGAATCGAGCGCAATTGTACTTTTAGCCAGAAAATAAATGCTTGGGTAATTCTGGGACACCCTGTATTAATTGGAGGAATAGGACTAAGGAGGAAATGCGATTGCAAATCGACCCACATCCCTGTGTTAGCCAATGACACCTTTGGGGCCAAGGTTGGGGGATATTCAGTTTAGCCTTTTTGTTTTTCTGTGATATCTCCAGCACCGTGAATGATATTGGCTCCTTCAAACCAGTAAAACGCCTTTTGGGCGACCAACGGAGCGAGCGAGAGGATGGGCCTTGCACGTGCGAAATTGCAAGGGGGTACCTCCAACTAACTTGTGCACTGCACCCTACTAACCGGTCTTTAGCGATGTGCCAAATTTCAGCGCAATCGGCCTAGCCGTTCTCGAGATCTGGAAGCGGCACACTGCACGTGCGCACGTGCAAGCGGGGTCCAAACTGACTTTTGCACGGCACCCTACTAACTGGTCCCCAACCGTGTACCAAATTTGAGCGCAATCGGCCCAGCCGTTCTCGAGATCTGGGAGCGCCCCCTGCACGTGCGCACGTGCTGTAGCACCCTAACCTTAACGCATGCAGATGAATTATCTGATGGAGACCTAACTGTTTACCGAGTTTCAATTCAATCGGCCCAACCGTTGTGCCGTTATTGAGGTTGCAATTTTGGGGGTTCTTAAAAAATGTCCAACTTTACCACGCGCCACGTGCGGTGGTTGGCAAGAACGCATGGTGGCCATCACACCACAGAACTTTTACGTCCAAGTGACATTCAGTAAAGAAGACCGCTTGTCAATCGGATGTCCCGTTCCTAAGATATTA